GGTACATATACACAATGAATACACATGGTCATTGCTCATTAGTTTGGTTTAGAGATTGAGTTTTTCCTTACAAAGGCAGTCTAGTAAAGGTCACAATGCTGACACTGCCCTTATCAGTCTAATGGAGGTGTAGATAATGGGAAAGTAGAGGCATAGGTTACCTGAAAATAAGATAGCTAAGATAGGAATTTACTCAGATGAGCCTCAGTGGTGCTGGTGGATTTCCAAAGAAACCAGACATTCAGCGAGTAGTCCAGGTACTGTACATTTTGCTTCTCTTCCACTATAAACTGCGTTAACAGTCAACTGGGATTTAATTATTGCTTAATGTCTTTGACTAAAAATGTTAATTACCTCCATTTTTACAAATTCTCAGTGTGTAAAGTAATGAGGATCTGCACATGTTAGCAGTCATTAAAATACACTTTTTGACATCAGTAACTTAACCATTCGATACATATAAACTTATATATATATATATATATATATATATATATATATATATATATATATATATATATATATGTAACCATACTGTACTTTACTGTAAGCATTTTCTTTTAGGATCAAAGAAAAGTGTATACATCTATAATGGCTCTGAGAATATAGCTCTGTTGATCTCATTTTGACATGACATATGATTTAACTGCATGGATCCCTCTACAGCTTAACATCCAAATTTTAATTTAGATTTTTTTTATTCACAGGTAACAAGTGAGAACACACTTGACTGACAGGGCAGGAAACATGAAGCAATCATTCAAACTTGCAACACAAGGTATAAATGAAAAAGGTGAGTTGTCTGTTTACACTGCAAATACACTGACCCAAAAAAATAATAATTTTGTGTAAAAACCCAGGTTATCAGAGGTAACTCTAGATATAGTTTTCCCTCTTTTTTTCAGCAGACATTGAGACTGGGTAAGTATATTGCAATTGACATTTCCCATAGTACACTATGTTTTAGACCACAATATGTTTGCAGTTGTCATGAAATATTCCTGTGCCTAACTTTTATGTGTTACAGAGATGAGAAGAAAAAAGAAAACACACTGAGCATTGGATACCTCCAGCTGGTAAATACTAAGCTATATTTTACATTACTTTACATTTATTTGGCAAAGTAAGTTACAATAAGGGCATTAAAACCATGTAGAAGAAAGAGCTATATGTCATCCAAAATTGTATTACAAATAACTAAAAGTATGTTCAGTGCTGCAGAACAAGTACTTAAAGATCAGCTTTTTAATTTGTATTTAATTATTTAAAAAAAATGCTAAATGACAAACATAAGTAAGCAAGCGTTGTTGAGATGTAATCTGAAAAGTTGGGCTTTTAGCCTGTTGCAGAATATGAGTACTCAAGTACTGTACTTAAGTTAACTTTTGAGGTGCTTCAGTATTTCTATTTCATGCTATTTTCTATTTCTACTCTGCTACATTTTTGGAGAGAAATATTGGTTTATATTGATAGCTATGGTTACTTTTCAAATGAAGCTTTTACATAAAAACATTATAATGTACAGTATTGTTTAAATCAGTGGCTTCCAGTCATTTTGGCTTGTGACCCCTTACAAAAAGTTTGGTTGGAGATGAGTGATTGTCCCACTAAACTTCTCACGTGGTTTTATCAAAATAACAGTTTGAGGCACAAAAGGGTAAAATGATCTAATATTTCACAAAAAAAAAACATTACAGAAAAGTTCAACATATGAAAAATTGCTTATTTCCTCTCCCATTATTCATCTCATGACCCCCAGATTTATCTTGTGCTCTTTTGAAGGGTGATCGACCCCTATGTTGGGAACCACTGCACTGGCTAATTGTGTATATATAGCAGTTAAAACTACCACCACCTCAAGCAGCTACAACAGTTAAATGTTTCATGGGCATTGATAAATCATTTAACTATCTAATAATGTATTATGTTATAATATATCTTTAATTTCCCCTAAGCGCGTATTTGCTGAGATGTAACCCTGGATAAGAATCACCTGCCATGTTGTTATAATTACTGTTCAAATAAACCTTCATTCAAGTTTTCCCTTCCTTGAGAATCAGAAGTTGGATTTAATTAAGTGGAACTCGACTTCAAGCAAAGATGGAGCACAGTATCAGGTGCAGAGGCCAGAGTACTATTACTTTTGGAATGCAGAACTTTTGTCTCACCTTTCTGATGGTGAGAGTACTTACGCAACACTATCAATGAAACGTACGTATATTGTAAAGGCTCTGCCATACTGTGTTGCTGCTGTCGCTACTGTCGCTGCCCCTTCAACTCTGCAACACGGGAACGTTGCCACAAACACCTGTTAAAAAAACTCAAGTGTCTTGCGAAACAGAGATTTACCTGGTTGTGATTGGCTTAATCAGCATTATGTGAACTCGTTTGGCAAGGGCTTGTATGTAATAGATGTTCCTTTATCTGTAAAAGTCATACACTCCAGCTTTAAAGCCGATTTATAATTGTACTTTTCCAAAGTAGGATGTGATTGTAATTTTACATGACTATTTTACAATGTTGTGCTGGTATTGTATTTACTTTACTGTAAGTAAAGGATCTGAGTAATTTTCTTTAAAATTCCTTTTTGCAGTTTCGATATGCTACTTGCAAAGACACTGTGATAATGGTAGTGGGGGGTTTGTGTGCCATCGTACACGGTGCAGCTTCACCTCTCATGCTTCTGGTTTACGGCATGATGACAAATACGTTTGTGGCTCATGAGCTTGAGGTCCAAGAACTGAAAGACCCGAACAAGATATGCAAAAACAACAGCATCTATTGGGAAAATGGCTCCATATATGAAACACCTGAAAACAGCACTGTGTACTGCGGGTAAGTATTTAGTTTATTGTTGATGTGCTTGTTACAGTGAAAAACTGTTGTTACTCATTTTATTTTCTCGACAGGGTGGATATTGAAGCACAGATGACCATGTTTGCATATTACTATGTTGGAATTGGATTAGGAGTTCTGTTTGTTAGTTATTTTCAGGTAAGTATTAATGCTTGCCAAATTCAGCTTTCATTTAAATACCCCTTTGAGCAAAATTATGGCTTATGACTCAAAGAAATAATTTTCTTCACACTGTAGATTTTCTTCTGGGTGTCAGCAGCTGCAAGACAAATTCAAACAATCCGAAAGACTTATTTCAGAAAAGTAATGCAAATGGAGATTGGATGGTTTGATTGCAACTCTGTTGGTGAACTGAATACAAGGATATCAGAGTGAGTTGGGGCTCTCTTTCTGCAGATACCAGTGCAAGGGAGAAGGTTTTACACAGAACAGTGTTTCTCTTCCTTTACAGTGACATGAACAAGATCAACAATGCCATCGCTGACCAGGTGTCTATCTTCATTGAGAGGATCTCTACATTTGTGTTTGGCTTCACGGTCGGCTTCATTGGCGGATGGAAGCTGACTTTAGTGGTCATAGCCGTGAGCCCGCTGATTGGTATAGCTGCTGGACTTATGGCCATGGTAAGTTGCCAGTTGTGAAGCAAATCAGTTGTGATTTTTTACTGCTGAGTGGGGACATGCTACAGTCTGTGATATCTTATGTTGCCATGTTTCTTTTTTTTCCTTGCCGCTAAAGGCTGTGGGCAGGCTGACAGGACATGAGTTAAAGTCCTATGCAAAGGCAGGGGCCGTGGCTGATGAGGCCCTGTCATCCATCAGAACAGTAGCAGCATTTGGAGGGGAGGAAAAAGAAGCTGAAAGGTGTTTTCATCATTTTCTAAGATCACAAGCAGTTTGCAAATGATGATGAGCCATTGCTTACATATTACACAATGATTTTAAATTAAATTAAAATGTGAAATTTGTACAGATATGACAGAAACCTTGTGGAAGCTCAGAACTGGGGTGTGAAAAAGGGCACGATCACTGGCTTCTTTCAAGGATACCTCTGGTGCACCATTTTCTTATGTTTCGCTTTGGCCTTTTGGTATGGATCTAAATTGGTCATCGACACCAAGGAGCTGTCTCCTGGTACTCTTCTTCAGGTATGGCACTCTATTTGATATAATCTAAGTTTTTGAAAAACAGTGGCCTTTGTTTTCACTACAGTGTTTTCTTTTCTTCAGGTGTTCTTTGGAGTACTCATGGCAGCTACGTCCCTGGGCCAGGCCTCTCCCTGCCTGGAGGCATTCGCTTGTGGCCGTGCTGCTGCAAAGAACATCTTTGACACAATTGACCGGGTAAAATCAAGATGCTACTTAATACTTGATTGCAGACACAGTCCAGATTAGAAACGATACATTTGAAGTAAAATAATGTTCGCCGTAAAATAAATTTCTGTGCTGTTAATGTTCACAGGAGCCAGAAATTGATTGTTTCTCAGAAAAAGGTTACAAATTAGACCAAGTAAAAGGTGACATTGAGTTCCATAATGTCACTTTCTTCTACCCATCCCGGCCTGCAGTCAAGGTAAATTACTTTAACTCTCATTTCTCTGTGTTCATTTCTCAGTTCTCAAAATTCAACTCTACTACAACAACTTTTTCAGATTTTAAATGATCTGAGCATGCAGATCAAAGCAGGAGAAACCACTGCTTTTGTGGGACCCAGCGGATCCGGAAAGAGCACCACAATCCAGCTCTTCCAAAGGTTTTATGACCCAAAGGAAGGAAAGGTAACAATATGAGCAACTGTACAGCCACAGGACATCAGTGGACAAAAGGTTAAAGGCTCCAGTGTAATGTCACATATATAAATCTCATTCTCAGGTGTCCTTGGACGGCCACGACATTCGTGATTTAAACATCCAGTGGCTCCGATCTCTCATTGGTATTGTTGAGCAGGAGCCGGTGCTGTTCTCTACAACCATTGCAGAAAACATCCGGTTTGGTCGACCTGGAGTAACCATGGAAGAAATCATCCAGGCAACAAAAGATGCTAATGCCTATAATTTTATTATGGATCTGCCACAGGTACTTTTACATTTTTAAAGATAATACTGAATGCATACAAATGTTTCACAGTCAATGTGTGAATTTGTGTTAAGGATTTAACAAACCTAAAATTAACACATTCCTTCCTATCCACCAGAAATTTGATACTCTGGTGGGAGAAGGTGGAGGACAGATGAGTGGAGGACAGAAGCAGAGGATTGCTATTGCTCGAGCACTGATTCGAAACCCCAGGATCCTGTTGCTTGATATGGCCACATCTGCCTTGGACAATGAGAGTGAGGCTATTGTCCAGGAGGCACTGGATAAGGTGAGCCACTATCTACCCATAGACTACATAACTGAGTACACCATCAACTTCACATCATGTTTTGTGGAATGGCACCCTAATAACTGGTATATTTGCAGGTGCGGATCGGCAGGACAACAATTTCTATATCCCACCGTCTTTCTACAATTAGAAATGCAGATGTCATCATTGGTTTTGAGCATGGACAGGCTGTGGAGAAGGGGACACACAGTGAGCTAATAGAAAGGCAAGGTGTCTACTTCACCCTGGTCACCCTGCAGAACCAAGGCCCACCAAACACAACTAATGGTAGGATTTATGTAATGATGCTAAACATTAGAGAAGGGCTAAGTATTGATTTTAATCACATTTTTGAGATTATGAGTAACATCAACTTGCTTTGTCAAACCAACAGTCCGAAACCCAAATATATTCAGTTTACAATAGAGAAAAGCAGTAAATCCTCAAATTTTAGAACCTTGAAACAGGAAAGATAAAGTGGTTGTTATTTTTGCTTGACAAAGTACCTTTCTGTTACTACTATACATCGGTTAATTGGTTCATTTCAGATCCTTAAACCTTCTTAACATACAAGGTTCCATTTCACCACATTGGCTTGTCTACATACCCCAGCTTATGCTAAAGTGGCCCTCTACATTTTTTTACATAACCCAAGGTCACAGCTTTGCATCATGTAGTGTCATCAGGGGGCACAAGCATCTGGCTTTGTCACATTAAGCCTTTTTCATAGAAAGACATTTTGACTTGTCATAGCAGGAACAGCACAGGTGTTGCTAATAACATCAACGATGGTCCCATTCCATTGCAGTGTTTCATTAAGCCTAGCCACTCAGCCTGATGCACATATCAAGAACCCTGGAACTAGTGAACTGAAATGTAATGCAGCTATCGTTAATGTTATTAATTTACACCTGTGCTTTTCCATCACAATGTTTATTGTGAAAAGAGAATATAGAGTTTCTTAAAAGGCAAAATATGTACAAAATAAAACTAGTACTGTAATCCATGTTCTGTGTACACAGGCAACACCCTTTAACTATGTAACCCTGTACCCACAAATCCCTCCTAGTATCAGAGACCGGTGGGTCCACCTGAAACAGCACATTTAAAACACTCAGCAGGAGTCAGTGGGCAACCTTATAGAGTGTTTGAAAGTCCTTGCTGTGTCTGTTAAAGATACTTGTGTTGAAGCTGTTCTGAGTTTTTATTTGTTTTGCCAGATGTGATCAATGATGCTGATCTAAAAGCGAGGAGTTGTAGCCTTGGAAGTTCCAGATCCAGTAAAAGGTACAGTAAATCCAGCTCGAAAAGATCATACCAGAACACAAATCTAGATATCAGCTATCATTATAACACAGTGAAATGTCTGTATGTTCTGATTATTTCAATATTACTCTAGTGGGAACTCTGTTCGACTGCGATCTCAGAGCAAATTGTCAAAACATTTTGACCACTACGCATCATCTGGCAGCCTCAAGAAACCTTCGGACCAGGAGACAACACCAAAAAATGTAATCTCTTTTATGCTGTGTAATACATTTACTTTATTCCAAATTACCATGTGGAAATTAACAGCTCCAATTCATATTCTTTAACATAAGTGTAAGGATGATGCGGTCGAACATGTGGAGCCTGCCCCAGTAGCACGTATCCTCAAGTACAACCAACCAGAATGGCCCTACATGCTGCTGGGCTCGCTGGGAGCTGCTGTCAATGGCTCTGTCAACCCCATCTACGCTGTCCTGTTCAGCCAAATTCTTGGGGTAAGGGTTTGCATACTCCAGTTGCTTGTTATGTTCTGTTTTACAAGCTGATATTGTTTGTTGAAGAGCACATGACTTAAATGATCTTTGTATTTGCAGACGTTTGCCATTCGTGACTTGAACAAGCAGAGGGAGCAGATCAATGGGATATGTGTTCTGTTTTGCATTGTTGCTGTGGCCAGTTTCCTTTTCCAGTTTTTACAGGTTTGCATCAGAATTCGCAACATAATTAAGACATTTAGAGTATACAAATCTTTGTCAACTTGATGTAGAGAAGAAGCTGAACAGAATCTAGTAAACTGATTTAAATGTTTCAGGGATATGCTTTTGCTAAGTCTGGAGAGCTGCTGACCCGCCGTTTAAGGAAAGTGGGCTTCCAGGCTATGTTGAGACAGGAGATTGGCTGGTTTGATGACCCCACAAACAGCCCTGGAGCTCTGACAGCCAGGCTGGCCACTGATGCATCCATGGTGCAGGGTGTAAGTAGCGGATTTCCAGACCTGTTTTGATATTTCACATAATTTAACACAAAAAAAGGCATAGGTTTGGAAGTGTAATTACAACAGTGTTTTTCATGTGGCTGGCATGGTTTCTGCAGGCAACAGGATCTCAAATTGGCATGATCGTTAACTCATTGACCAGTATTGGAGCGTCTTTCTGCATTGCTTTCTACTGCAGTTGGAAGTTAACTTTGGTAATTATGTGCTTCCTGCCACTCCTCGTGCTGTCTGGGCTGTACCAAGCCAAAATGCTGACAGGTTTTGCAAATGAAGATAAAAATGCCATGGAAGCAGCAGTTCAGGTGAGCATCACAGAACAACTGCAATTTAGACCCACTGATATCTACAGTTTCTCTGAGAAACCAAAGGCTGCAGTATAAGCTCTTAACTTTCACCCACAGGTATCCAGTGAGGCTCTTGCCAACATCAGGACAGTTGCAGGTTTGGCCAATGAGAGGTCATTTGTGGACTCGTATGAGCAAAAACTCGAGCTTCCATATAAAACTGCCAAGAAGAAAGCCAACATCTATGGAATCTGTTTTGGTTTTTCCCAGTGCATCGTGTTCATGGCACTTGCTGCTTCATTTAGATATGGAGGCTATCTGGTTAGCTCGGAGGGGTTAAAATACATGTTGGTTTTCAGGTTGGTAAAATTATTTCTTTCAATGGAAAATCTGTCCTTTACAGATCCTATGTTAAAATGTATTTTCTGGTCTGTGAAGTGACTACCAGACATCAACCCCCTGCTCATATGGTATTTCTCCAGAGTGGTATCAGCTATAGTAACCAGCGGGACAGCACTGGGCAGAGCTTCTTCCTTCACTCCAGACTATGCCAAAGCCAAAATTGCTGCTGCTCAGTTTTTCAAACTATTGGACCGAGTTCCTAAAATCAGCTTGAGCCAAACAGATGGAGAAAAATGGGTTGGTGAATTCAGTAAATAAGAAGGAATCATACATAATAAGATACCATTTTGCCATGATGTTGCTTTCAAATCATTAAGCCTAGTTATCCGTCTTTAGGGTAACTTCAAAGGTGAAATAGAGTTCCTCAGTTGCAACTTCACCTATCCAACTCGGCCAGATACCCAGGTGTTGAACGGCCTGGATGTGTCTGTGAAGTCTGGTCAGACTTTGGCGTTTGTTGGTAGCAGTGGCTGTGGGAAAAGCACCAGTGTTCAACTGTTGGAAAGGTTCTATGACCCTGATCAAGGGCAAGTGGTATGTAGACTGGTTTAGACTTTCATTTTACTAATCACAAAATGTGTTTAATTGATTCCATCAACTCTGTCTTAAGTATGTCATTTTTTATTTTAGTTGATCGATGGCCGCCCGTCTCATACTGTCAACGTGCCCTTCCTAAGATCTCAGATTGGCATAGTGTCTCAGGAGCCCGTGTTGTTTGACTGCAGCATAGCGGACAATATCAAGTATGGACATAACACACACAGTGTCAGCTTGGAAGAGATTGTTCAGTCTGCTAAGAAAGCCCACCTTCATGACTTTGTGATGAAGCTTCCAGATGTGAGTGGAAACAATTTCCCTAAAAATACAACTTTACATGCATTGCCATTGCAAATCCTGGGGATTTGTCTGGTACTGAAAACCATTCTCTTACTGTTAACAAGAATCAAAAATCAGTTTAAGTATTGTAGCTTTGTTGGAAGCCCGTTGATATTAATACTATACTTCATATTTACATAGTTTACTTATTGAACATTTGATCCTTGCAGAAAAAAATAAACTGGCAGAATGATGCAGAGTTTAGAGAGCATCCTCATTATAAGTTGGCTAGTAAGTTATTTTGAAAAGAGCCCAATAGATTGGAGTTGCACTTTATTGTGGTGGAACAGGTTTACAGCACTGTTGAACTTGTGACCTTTTGATTTCTCTTGACAAGAAATATCAGACTCGGGTTGGTGCCCAGGGCTCCCAGCTTTCAAGAGGACAAAAGCAACGCATCGCCATTGCCCGGGCCATCATCAGAAACCCTAAGATCCTGCTGCTAGATGAAGCTACCTCTGCCCTGGACACAGAGAGTGAAAAGGTGATACATTTCTAAACACCATGAAACAGCATAAACACAAAGCAAGTTATTACTTTACACAAATAAATTTTTTTCATGATTTACATCTCCACATGCTTAAACGAGACACCAAAAACTTACCTTAAAAAGTATTCTTCCTGACAAAGCTCTGTTTTCCTGCAGACTGTCCAGTTGGCTCTGGACGAGGCGAGAAAAGGACGAACCTGCATCGTCATCGCTCACCGGCTGTCTACAATCCAGACTGCTGACATCATAGCAGTGATGTCTAAAGGAGCTGTCATAGAACAGGGCACACATGATAAACTCATGGCCAAGATGGGCGCCTATTATAAACTGGTCACAACGGGTGCTCCTATCAGCTAGGCGCCTGCCGCCACATATGATGAACATGTGATGAAAATGATTATATATAGTATGGGGTATTGATTGATCTTAAACATGAAACCAATATAAGAATATGAAGGACAATAAAACTCACTGTAGCAAAAAACTTGTTAACTCAAAAGTAAAACTTTTTTGTCCGCCATATTGGAGAGGTCAAGATCTTTAGAGATGCAGACCCAATGTTAATGTTTTAAACTTAACCACAGTTCACATTTCAGTTTCAAACAACAGTGAGATGGGAGGGAAGTTTGGGGATTTAGGGGCGCTGAAAATATCTTTAACTGGAAAAGATCTGTTCATCATTGTTGAATGAATGAAAGGATGTTTTTCTTTCTTAATATGACCATCTAATGAATCCTTAACGCAACTTTTTAAAGAAAAAGTGGATCCTACACAAAACACTGTTACATCATCATTTCAAACAAAAATGTATGTAATAAAAATGTATTTCTTCCTGACTTCAGTTTTCTAAATATTTAACTTGAAGTTGCAGTGAATAAAGGCTGAGCTGCTGAGTGGTCCTATTTTATTTCGCCCCCTGGGCACAGAGGCATAATAAAGTACCCAGACACACAGATGTTTTCTTCAAGCTTGGCTTAACAAGTAGCCTCCTCACTTAGGACAGTTATATCATTTAGTGCCAGGCCTCAGGTGCCACTGGATGCTAAGCAACCACAGACGGTGGGAAAAGACATGAAAATGGTTTCGGCTGGGGAGTTGAACTAATGTGCTAATCTAGTTACATCAGAGACTCTGTTCTACCTCATTACATTTTGGCTGATTAACATCTGAATTTGCCTGGAGAAACTAAGGTACCCATATGAGATTATAATAATTTACACAGAAAGATATATACACACATACATCTACAGTTCATACAGGGTTGCTGCAGGAGACTGTGGTTCCTGGAAAATGCAGGGAATTATTGAAAGGTATATGTCAGATTTGCTGTTGTCATGTTGCCAAAGATTGGTCCTCCTAAACAGTACATATATTCAGTTTTGGGTTATTGTTTTTATATTTCAGCACAATTTAAATGTTTAGAACACTTTCACTAATATCTGACAAAATGCCATCAGAGTTTCAATTATTTTTTCAACTGTGCGGAAATGCATTATTTGACATAACAGACCTAAAATTAGGATTTTGTCACTGACTGAAGGGAAAGGTAAGTGTTGATTGTTTAGATGAAGCCTGACAAAGAAGAAAACAATTTTGTCCTTGAAATAGATTTTAAATATGAGATATAACTTTATTTCAGGCCTAGAGTGACAAAACACTCCTTTATTTATTTAAATGTAACTTATTTGAATCTGATGTTTGCAGTGAACCTCTATAGCCGGTGTTTCACCATTAATTATCCACATCTCAAAATGTCCTTGAGCAAAACACTGAAGCCTACATTGCTCTTGGTATTCATAAATAAAATGGAAGTTGCTTTTGGGAAATTGAAAGTAATGCAGTATAACTTTTCAGCTCTTTAATAAGAGAAGAGTGAATTCCCAATTGATAAAAAGTTTAACAGTTATATTTATAACATCTTTCACATCATGTCACTAATGCTTCACTTATACACTCATACACTCATGGGTAATCCTGTACATGTAAAACAAACAAAACAGAGAAAATAAACACATACACATGTCATACTTTGCTATGTTCATCACATAAAGTTAGACCTCCTTAAAAATGTATTAACTAATCTAACACAGTAATGTAACTTATTTCAACAGTACTTATGTGACTTACAATTACTGAATAACAGTCTGACAGATGATATATGTGTATCCACTACCCATATGATGTTCTTTAATGCTATTTAAAAGTAAGGAGAACAACATTACAAAATTTCACAATTCCCACATAATCTAAGATATTTAATAGCGACCAAACCAGGAGGAACTGAAGCGCTCTTGCAAAAAGATAAAAATGTATAGCAGAACCTCAGTGTGAGTGGGCATTTTGATAGTGGCATACGATTGCAGAGATGTGAGAGTTGCTGTCACAAACAGGTTTAAATCTTGTTTTGTTGCCGTTCTTCCCCCTTTATCTCTGACTGAACATCTGAGAGTTCACTTCCAGGCCCCAACCAAACAAGGTTTCCAGTTGTCTCACTAGACTGGTGAAAAGTGTGGTGTCAAGACAGATCCAATCTGGGTTAGTGCACCACCTCTTGGCTTTAGTACCTGACTACAAAGGATCAATGTCTGCTGAGTTGAAGATGAGATAAAAGCCAATAGCAAAAGAGGAAAGAATAACATTGGTCTGGAAGTACAATTTCAAGCTTGCTTTGCAGACTGAAGGGATGTAATCAAACACTTTGCCAACCACCGTGCCTACACATTGTAGAGAAAATCTGACTCTATTATTACATAGACAATTATGGTATACACCATGATGACAGTAAACTTGCCAGCTAAAAGGCAGAGGATAACCTGATGTGGGAAATGTGTTGCAATAAAATCCCTGGAGATGCAAATGCATATCTGAATTAACAACAAAGTCATCCACAGACAACACCTCAGGAAACAAAACCTGCAGGGATATAAACATTTAGACACAAACAGTAATGAAGAAACCACTGATGTAATGGTATGGTGCAAAATAACCGCCCACCTTTGAAAACTCTGCACAGAAGTGACTCTGGAGGAAGGCCTTGTAAAGCTGAAAGCAGAGGTGATCATCCCATACCATTTACATGATGAGCTCATGACATGACCAGATAAACTTCCTGCATAACGAACCATCAGAAGAAAGTGTTTGATGCGTGTTACATTTAAATATACTGCAGAGCTATTCAATAATAAATTCAAGTGGGCCGGATTTTTAAACCAGGACATGGAGATGGCCTGGACATTTTCTCATGAGTTGGGATGGTATCATTAGGATTTTTTCGTCACTTGTAGGCTTTTGGTTATCCTTATTGTTTCAGTTCTTTATCGGTGCTCTTATCAGTCCTATTTATTACTAAATAATTGCATATATTATTTGAAAAAATCAATATAATATTTTTTATTAACTAAATGTTGTTTCTAGAGCAGCAACAGGATTTACAACAGTAAAGTCACTAATATCTCACTGGAAACAAATCTCAAATGTCAGAAAAATAAATCATATAAATACACAAAAATGCTCTGAAAGACTATTAACCTCAGTGTTGGCAGTTGAAAATAAGATTGAACCAGTCCACAATAACTGCTCATACCATCTTGTTGCCCACACTATTACTGAGATGGAACCAGAAGGGGAAATAAACAGAAAATAATACGAGGGTCTCCCACAGATGACATAAGTTGAGGTGTTCGGTCTGAGGTTCCCTTTCTGTGTATTCCTGGCTGCATTTAAATGTTTAGCTGAAAATAAGTTAATCACAAAACGTTTTCTGTTCAAGTTACGAAAAAGAAACAGTCCCTCTGAATTGTAAAAAAAAAGTCATTTAGCTGATTTTTTTTAATAGTAGAAAAGGATTAACAATGCAATATATATACATACAAAACATAAGAGATACGAAGATACATATAGCTAGGGGGAGTCATTTTGCTGATTTGTAAGCGGAAGAAAAATAAATACAACGTTATTTCCAGTGTTCAGTCCCGCCTCAAGTTTATGGGATAATGGAAGTAAAGGAAGACATTTATACAAGATTCAGCAGAAAGTGGGGAAGGAAAAGTCAGTGAGGAAGGGCAGGAGAGAACAGTGTCAATTTAGTAGAATTAGACTAGGTCACACAAAGTTAAATGCATCTCTGCAGACATGGAATCTCCCATAGATCAGGAACCCGGAGATGCACTACATTTATTCATAAGCTAATGCTTTTATCCAAAGCAACTTACAATTGCTGTCAGAGTTTGCACGCCTCTGGAGCAACTAGGGGTTAAGTGTCTTGCTCAGGGACACAATGGTGGATAGGTCACCGTGGGGAATTGAACTCAGGTCTCTCACACCAAAGGCTCGTGTCTTATTATCCATTTTTCCATCACCACCCTGCACCTGCACTAAATTCAGGTTCATCCCCATCTGATCCTCCCCACCCCCTAACACAAGTGAGAGTAATCATGCAGTCAACCAGAAACTGTGGAACATGTGCTGTTTGAGTGCACTAAATACTCAAGAGAAAGACTGGCTTTAAGAAATGGACTGGAACATGAAGGAATTAAACAAATGGACATTAAAACCATTTTCTCAAATAACTCCGGAAAGATGGTGCTTAAACACATCTCATCTTTTTTTACAACCAACTGGACTGAACACAAGGATTTAGGCAGATGTAACTAAGATGTAGGTGATACCATTGGGAGGCAGCAATGCTCTAAAACAGTGCCGAGACTGCCAGAAAAAAAAAGAATACAGTAGGTGGCGATAATGCTCCATCTGGTTGCAAGTCACCAGTAAAAAGAAGAAGAAATAGTCCCCGCCTCCTGCATGCACACCGCGAATTTTTGAAAATAACGACTGGTTCAGTTGCAAGGCGTAAAGAGGTATATCAACAGCCACACATTAAAACCTGTGAGTATCCAAATAAAAACAAGTAGCTAATCAAATCAAAATCAATGTGAATTTGTAAACAGGCAATAGTCTTATTTCCTGCGTAAGTTAAATAAGGTGAGTCCTGCGCAAGCTACGGCTAACTGACCGCTGATGTTTCCCAGCTAACATTAGCGTTAAGCTAATGTTGCCAGTTGGGTTTTGCATTTCTAACCGCTCTGAAGCTGATAATACACGGGGCAACTTTTTGAGCAATGTTGCTGGGCAATCTTGCTAGTGGCATGTCCGACTGTGTTTTGAACGGATAGCGGCGGTGCGGTGTGGGAAGGGGATTAACGTTACTGTAGTAATCTTTACTCATTACCATTGACGGCAACGTTGCCCAGCACGATTGCTCTAAAAGTTGCTCTGTGTATCATCAGCTTTACTTTTCATGTATAACGTTAGAGGGTAGTAACGGCTAACTGCTAGGTAACGGCTCAGTCTGCACCGTAACAGTTGCAGCAAGTCACAAATGAGGCTGGCACAATGAGCTGTTTGTGTTGTTCTAACGTTATCATACCGATGTTTTCGGGGACTGACAGGAAGTCATCTAGCTTGACATGGAAGTGGAGGCTGCTAAGTTAATGTTTTATGAAAGTTTTGAAAAAACAATCCCAGCACAAGTTTCATTTCTATATTATTTTCCGAGCTGTCTTGCTACCGTCTCCACACTTCTTAGTCAGTGGATGGAGTTTGCTTGGTTGTCAGGGAAAGTTTTATTGATATCAAATGTGAAATAAAAACAATATACGGTAACATAATAAACAGAAAAATTGTGCCAGCTGCTGTTATGATTTAATCCATTTAATTTACTAATTCATGTAGCAACTTACGCAACCATACAGTCTTTCTGGTATAAAAGTATGGCAGTCGGTGGGAGTAATTTTTACACTGATGATAGTGTCTTGGTGTCCTTGTGTCCAGTATTTACAGCAGCTACGTGGTCTTCATATGAACAGCTTTGGGCCATTTTACTTTGGCTGACACTGGCCCCTTTGTCTTTGTTTCTCAGCTTCAACTTCAATTTTATCATTACCGCTGAAAGAAATTGTAAACACGAGTCACAAAAATACACTGACATTACCAGCTACAACATATAGTCAAAAACATACAAGCAGTATAAAGTATGTTTTTTAAAAAAGTGCTATGCAAGGTGAGAATAATGTTATTTTAAGTGCATGTGATGAGTGTCCTGTGTGTTGTTTCTATTGCAGATTGTCTGACATCTGAACATCATGACATCCATTACGGATCCCAAAATAAGTGAAAGGTTCACTGCTGCAATGGAGGAGATCCAAAACAAAAAGTTTAAAACATATGGGGAGATAATTGACACAACTGCAGAGCTGGGCCAGTCCCACAGACAGTTTGTGAAGTCTGCACTTGGTATGTTAGAGGTATTAGTTGTTGGAGTCCCTATCAATTTACATCCTGGCAATAGCTATTTTTCCAAGGATCCATATAAAAAAAAAAATAGACATATGGTCAGCTTGGTTGGATAGGTACAACAAAACAGTAACTATTTCAGTTCATCTAAACATCCCAACATTTTGATTTTTATTTTCTTCACAAATCCCTTCAGCTGCTTCTTAAAAGCTTTTGATGTAGATTATTGAGATATTAAGCACAAACTGTTGCAGTGACATCTGGCTTCATATAGATTTATAGCATTTTCAAACAAAGTACCAAGTACAACCAAGTACAATTGGTGAGCATGGGCCACTAAATACCTTTCCTTTTTTTGTGTCTTGCAAGCCACATAGTATTATTTCCTGAACTGGTATTATTCAGTTACACAGAGGGGTGCAGCAATCCCATTAATCACATGAAAAACAAGTAACCCACCACTGTGTCGAAGGAATTGTACTATTTTTACTGTACTATTTTTGGCTAGATGCTAGTCCTACAGTTTCAATTTGAGCTGTCTCAGTTTTTAACAAAAAAAAGGTGGTCAGAGTTTATGCGTATTTTAATGACACAGTGTGAGACTCAGCACATCAGGGCCATGAGTATGATTCCTATACAGTTATTTTAATTAACCTCAGAGTTGATGGTGTTTTCCTTTTGGTGCAGATACATGTTTAAAGAAATGTAAGGACGATGAGATGCTGTTTGAGACAATACAGACATTCAAAAGAGGTGAGTTTATGCATTTGGCCACAAAGCATTGTGTATGTGCCTTACACTCAGTTGTAGTAGCTGGTTGTTTCAATGTTTAGAGGAGTAATGAAGGTATTGGTATTGTACCCATGCCAACTGTATTTTTGTCCCAGCACTAACCCTGTTCTCATGTGCTGTAGAATTCCTCATTTTCTTATGCACACTATACTTGTTTGGGACAAAAGGTTGTAATGCAGCTTCAGAGGCTTCAGTGTTTATGTGAAAGCGTATTGTTGCAATGTTTGTCCCCCAGACTTGAAACAAAAAAATGCATCACTGAAAGAGAAACAGCACGCCATTTCCGACTTGATGTCTGAGATTGAGCAGAAAGAGATGCAGAAAGATGACATTATCCAGAAGATAGAGAAACTTAAAGAAGAACAAGCCAAGAGAAAAGAGCGTAAGTTGATATTTGAAAATTAAATGAATAGTTTAGATCGCAGAACTTAAACTTTGGCATATGATTGTTTTAGCAAATGACCCCTGCACTTGTTTTATGTCTTTTCTCTGTCTTCAGTAATTTTGTCTCAACATAAAGCAAACAAAGACAGACTGAGGAATCTCCAGAAAGCCAGATTAGTCTTTCAGGATAATTTGGGAATGGAGATACGAACAATCATCGGCAAAACACAATCGATTAAAGGTATGCCAGACACAAACATGTACATTCCCCTATTCTGTATCTTTCTTGAGTCCTGTTTCTGTCCATTGCTGTTTCCATACATTTAGAGTAAAACATGCAGATGGGAGTTATTTTGTACAGCTTAGAGGGTTTTTGGGAGTTCCTCTTGCCTGAAGCTTGTGGGCTCTCAGTTTAAGAAGAAATATGTTTGTTACCTGATAGGACTACCCTCTTTTGTTGCTTTTAATTCCTCCCTAGCAAAACACAATCAGAGGTGTAGAAATAAACTAGATTTCTAGCAGCTTAGTCATATAGTGCACTGATGACTCAAAGAAGTGGGCTTTTAATAAGAAATAGCTGTTATTTTTAATCAGATCAGTAGTGGGAGTACACCAGCAAGAGGAGAAGTTAGGGGGAGAAAACAGTACGTCACTAACACATCAACATCTCTGTGAAACACAACACTTATTGTAGCTTGTCTCTAGTAAACTACTGACTCTCTCCCCAGCTGATTGTAAATATGTTGTTTGTTGTCCTTAAAGGTGAACAGTTGCAGTTTATTTTTCGGCACATCAACCCTTTAGATCAGGACAGCGCCTACGTTGTCACAATGGGGATTAAAGAAGACGGATCATACCAGAGTAAGTTACACACACACTTTGTACTGTAGCAAAATGTTGTGCAGTTTATTGAAATTATGACTTCACTATTATCAATTTATCACCTTCATTTGAAAGATATGGCTGACAATAGTCTATGAAGACCAAACCCAGTAGTAAACTGACCCTACGCACAGGTATTGCCTGTGTACCCAGAGCCTTATATAGCTTATTCCTCTGTGCCACATGATTCCCATGAACATTATGCACTGTGGTGTCGAGTTAATCCTATATGCAGTGTCATACTTCATATAGGATACTCACTGGAGCATCAAATGTGTATTAATCCACCAGTGAAAATAGTCCCTAACAAATGCAGTATTTACTCCTGTTTAAATACAAGTTGCTTAATACAGCAGTGCCCAGCTGTGTTGGGAAGTTATTTAGCTTTATTTAAAAACTACATATTTATGACCAGTTTTTAAATACCTATGTCACTCAGTAGGAACTAATGGGCATGGCAATAAGTGCCACAGACAGGATAGGGAGGGAAAAATTCTAATACACTGCTGGTTTGGGGCCTTTTGATAGATTTATTAATAATAATTAAAATATTAAATATCCCCAGCTTTATCCTGCAACAAGCATTGTAAATGTATTCTCTAATATTAACCTAAGTCTATCATTTCTACAGTTGTGTCGAGTGACCCCGTGCTCGAGTGTTTGCCAGTACTGGAAAGCCGGCTTCAGGAGACCAATAACTTACCAGCATTCCTGGCAAACGTCAGGAAGGAATTTGTCTCTCTTGCACGATGCTAAGATTGTGGAGTTCAGCCTCGAACAGGTGTTCTGGTGGAGATATGACCCTTGTCTTTTATGTCTCTAAATCCTGCAAAAATCACTAGTTGGCTGTAGATGTTCTTCAAAAGTAACGAAAGATTCACAGATGATGTAAATAGTTTTCATTTATTTTCTCATGTCATCTCTGAGATTAAAGGGGGTGAGGATAAGATAAGTACATAGTTTCTATTTTCACTAGCTCCATTATTACTTATATTAATCATATTCATTTAAATACGTATTTATCAAATACTATAGTTAGGTTCATCTGTACAAAATGTGGCATATATAATTGGGGGGGGGGGGGGGGGGGTCATTTGGGTATAAGAATTCACATACAGTATGAATTTTAACAGCATTACAAAATACAAATCATTACGTTTTTCCCAACATTACAAATTTAGGGGGAACAATGACAAAACCGACACTGTCAGCAGAGGAACATGTATTGTTAAACTGAATGCTTCTGTCTTTTTTAACCACTTAAAAGCAACAAATTACTTCAGCCTCCACAAACAATATGTGTTTTAGTTGGGATGAGGTATCCAGTTGTTACCATCATATTTGTGGCAATGCAGAAGTTCCTCTTTGATTTTTTGCTGACGTCAGTCAGGCGTCAGATGATTTGACTTTGTGCAACACAGGCAACTCCTCAACATAGGTTGATGGAAAATGGCCTGTCTTACCATTAAGTTCACCAAACCACCAACCATTCTCCTCCTTTTTGTGAATGTCTAGAAGATCTCCTGTAAAACCATAACCCAGTAATCTTATCAGATTAGTCATAAACCTGCTACTATTTTAGATTTTCTGCAGTTGAGTTGCCACTTACCTTCTTTCAAAGACAATTCATCATCCTGTTCAGATGTGAAATTGTACAGGGCCTTGCATTTTCCTATACTGCATGACTCTGGTGGTGTTAGACCTATTCAATGTTGATATAATTATTATTAGTTTTAATTTCAAGGTGTGATGAATAGAAATAAATCTTTGTGTTGGTGCTCTGAAAATGTGTTAACCTCTTTCTTTGTCTTCGTCGGTTTGAGGCAGGGCTCCGTTAACAGTGCTGTCACACTCGACAGCTACAGTTTCATGTTTTGTAGCTCTGGGAGTGACTGGGTCAGTAGCACTTTGTAAACCCTCCGCAGACTGCTGTGTCACAAACGGAGCAGGTCCTTTGTAAATGATAGACGCTCTCAGTGACTGTTGGGATCTGAATGGGGTCCTCTTGAGTTTGACTGGACGAGTCAGTTGAACAACACTGTGCTCACAGTCCTGACAACAGTCAAAATAGTTAATGTTTGACCTCATAAAGATTTGTATGTCTCCAATCAGTTTTGGCCATTCAGGCCAACATTATAATTATAAACTCCCCCTTAACCACTCAGCTATCTCTACCCCAGAACATACTTAAAATCCTGAAAGTGGTCTATGTACACTTACCTTATCTTTCCATTTCAGTATGCTTTCACTAAATCGGTGGGAGGACTTGGGTTTCCCTTTTAATTCAGAAAGCGATGCAGAGAGTTTGTAGTGAGTTGCCTCAAGGAGGTCCAGTTTTAGAGTACACTACAGGGAATAAGATGGCATTAGTGAACACTTGAACCAGTCTTATTTATGATCAGTTTAAAGTAAATATCCATCAACTTTACACACTGTACACGGTTTACCTCATCAAGCTGCTGTTCAATTTCCTCAAGGTTCTTTTGGTTTGAAAAAGATGGATTTTCAGAGTATGTTTTCATCAGTCTTTCAATTCCTGCAATGAGAATGTCAAAGGTGACTTAGAAAACAAAATGAACGACCTTATGTAGTGCTTTCCATTATGAATCACTGAGTCATACTGAAATATAGTTTTTCCACCTCCTTCAGATTATACTGTCATTTTAATGTTCTTTTTAATTGACAATGTACTGAACTCGCCTTCACGGTCTTTATTTGTTTTTGTAATACTGTTCTCCAGGCGCTGGAGTTTCAGTTTGATGGCCTCTTTTCTTCTGTCTTTGCCCATCAGTGATTTGTTGTCCTCCTCCTGACACATGCAGAACAGAGATCACATGAATTTATCACAAAACTATGATAGGCTTGGTTAAAATGTGCTATTCATGCAGTATGTGCCAAAGCTACAAGGTTAACGCATACAAAGTGAATATTTCCTGGAAATTTTACAAACACGCTATTGTCACTACTGCACTGCATTCTGCACATTTATATACACTCACCTAAAGGATTATTAGGAACACCATACTAATACTGTGTTTGACCCCCTTTCGCCTTCAGAACTGCCTTAATTCTACGTGGCATTGATTCAACAAGGTGCTGAAAGCATTCTTTAGAAATGTTGGCCCATATTGATGGATAGCATCTTGCAGTTGATGGAGATTTGTGGGATGCACATCCAGGGCACGAAGCTCCCGTTCCACCACATCCCAAAGATGCTCTATTGGGTTGAGACTTGGTGACTTTGGGGGCCATTTTAGTACAGTGAACTCATTGTCATGTTCAAAAAACCAATTTAAAATGATTCGAGCTTTGTGACATGGTGCATTATCCTGCTGGAAGTAGCCATTAGAGGATGGGTACATGGTGGCCATAAAGGGATGGACATGGTCAGAAACAATGCTCAGGTAGGCCGTGGCATTTAAACGATGCCCAATTGGCACCAAGGGGCCTAAAGTGTGCCAAGAAAACATCCCCCACACCATTACACCACCACCACCAACCTGCACAGTGGTAACAAGGCATGATGGATCCATGTTCTCATTCTGTTTACGCCAAATTCTGACTCTACCATCTGAATGTCTCAACAGAAATCGAGACTCATCAGACCAGGCAACATTTTTCCAGTCTTCAGCTGTCTAATTTTGGTGAGCTCTTGCAAATTGTAGCCTCTTTTTCCTATTTGTAGTGGAGATGAGTGGTACCCGCTGGGGTCTTCTGCTGTTGTAGAACCATCCGCCTCAAGGTTGTGCGTGATGTGGCTTCACAAATGCTTTGCTGCATACCTCGGTTGTAACGAGTGGTTATTTCAGTCAAAGTTGCTCTTCTATCAGCTTGAATCGGTCGGCCCATTCTCCTCTGACCTCTAGCATCAACAAGGCATTTTTGCCCAGAGGACTGCCGCATACTGGATGTTTTTCCCTTTTCACACCATTCTTTGTAAACCCTAGAAATGGTTGTGCGTGAAAATCCCAGTAACTGAGCAGATTGTGAAATACTTAGACTGGCCCGTCTGGCACCAACAACCGTGCCACGCTCAAAATTGCTTAAATCACCTTTCTTTCCCATTCTGACATTCAGTTTGGAGTTCAGGAGATTGTCTTGACCAGGACCACACCCCTAAATGCATTGAAGCAACTGCCATGTGATTGGTTGATTAGATAATTGCATTAATGAGAAATTGAACAGGTGTTCCTAATAATCCTTTAGGTGAGTGTACAGTGTATATATAACCTTTAGGTCCGGTAAATCTAATTGAGATTACTATCATATTCGCAAAGTAGACCCGAGTATAACCTGACGCCTACATACAACACAACAAGCAGTAAAACAGTAATACATTAAAAAACAGGCTCCATGTCGAGCCCTGTCACACATTGACCAATACAGCTTTACATCTATGGCAGTATGAATACTAACATCAAAAAGACATCCCATGCAGAGATGTCTTATGTCTTTGAAAGGGTGAGTCACTGAATGAGTCTGTGGCCTGCAGGCAAGCCTCTCAACCGATTCTCTGAGCAAAAAATTGCAGACTTACAAAATAATCAGCCACCAGATACTCTGCTTTGTTATCTTCAGCTGTGATGCTGGTTTCCACCACCAGGGTTTGTATGTCTTTATCCATGTCCACCCTTTGGACTGCCTGTTCGGTCTGTCTTTGGCCCTAGAAGTGGCAGAAGTGCATGTTATAATTTTCACCAGGGAATTTAGTGCATACATATGAGCAGGTTGGAGATCAGGAAATCTTACATGTATGATGGTCTGCCCAAAGCTGGACATGTGGAGGTTGTATTTATTCAAAAGGTTGAATAGAACTTCAATTCGCTGTTTCTCCATCTCCTGTATGATCTGAAAAAAACAGAAAATGGCACTATGAGGCTTTCTGTACAACATCCCTGTCACCTACTGCTGGATGATTGTCACCTAAATCTGAGGTAAAATTTAAATAAAAGCACTAAGGAAAACCAGGTCATTGTGACTGGAAAGACTGCAAGAGATAATGAGTGTGAGCAAGCGGCCTCAAACGTTTCACTCATTTTCCATTGTGGTGCTATTCCTTGCTACATGCTGATAAAATCTGTGTATCCAAGAGAATACAGCATTTAACTCAAGCTGCAAGAAGAGATGAGCTGCTCCTGGCACTTTCCACACACCAGGGATTGCCGCTGTTGCCAGAAGTTGGTCGACGTGGCTCTGAATTTTCATGAATATTGGATACTGCACAGAGCAATATCTAGTCACTAATCTTGATCTTCATCCTCCAGTAGATCCAGCTTCTCCCCTTCTCTACCACTCTTTCTAGTTTCTGTTTGTTGTCCTCTTGTGTGTTTATTGTGGCCTGTCCTCGCTTCAGGTGGATAGGGGGTGATGTGGCACAATGACGCACTTATGTCCCCAGGCCGGGACTCTTATCAAACATGAAATTTGGAACAAATCTGGCAATGTGGTGCCGAGTTACCACAGTTACATACGAGATAGCCAAGTTAAGAATTGAGAAACTTCAGCAATTCACAGTATCACATCAGACACGCCGACTGACGAAAACTGAAAAGCTAGGCTATTTAGCATCACAAGGGTCTTTAGATTGCGTTGCCAAAATTTGAAGTTGATCTGATAAATTTTCTTGGTTTGTTGTTTGTTTGGAGCCAAATGGCAAAAAATGCCCTAAAATTGCACATTTTAGGAAATCCAAAATGGCTGACTTCCTGTTGAATTTAGGGTATATCTCCAACAGGCTTTTTTAAAAGTCTGGACATAATACATGTGCCTCCCAAATTTGGTACATCTTGGAGAAAGATACAGACGCAGAGGCTGCTTTGTTGAAATTTTTAGGGGGCACTATGGAGCCATTTTGCCACACCCATTGTCCAAGATCCACATCAGACGAGTATTTTCACCACTTCTGACGTATGTAATAAGTTTCACAATTTTTGTAGCACCATGAGCACCCCAAAAATGTGTTTGAAGTTTTAATAATAAAAACCCCCATAAAGATTTCAATAGGGACCTCTGGGACCTGCTGCTCAGGCTCTAATAAGTTGCAGAATTCACTGGGTGGACTGTGATCATTTGATGCTCGGGTGGTAGACTGACTGCTTATAGGGCATTTTCTGCAACCAAAAGCTCACTGGTTCCACTCTTATTACAAATGAGGTGTCCTTGAGCAAGACACTGAACGTACCTGTTCACTCACAAAAAGCCACTCTAAATAAGAGGAACAGCTAAATGCCTACAATATGAGAAGCAGGAGAGCATTTTCTGCACCTGGTGGCAGTTTTTCAATGTGTTTTCCCACTTGAGTCTCATGTGATGACCCTCCATGTTGATATTAAAGTACTCCTCATCCACCCGCGCCTGCATCTCTGCCGACTTAGTCAGCCTGTTCAGCATCTGTAGTCAAGGACAGGGGGAAAAAAATCTTGTTGGCATGTTGGCAGCTTTTCCAGCTGGTATTTACTCCCAAATAATGAAAACATATGTAGCGGCCATATCCTGTACCTTTTGTTTTTCCTTTTCTGTGCAAATGTGTTTGTTGTTCTCAACAAAGTTGAACAAAGCCTCGTGCTCCCTTGTTAGTCCAAACAATTTCTTCTTGGTCTGTTTTAGAAAAGGAAACCATAATCCACATACATAAGATATTCTTGACATAACAAAATGATATAGATTTAGAAAAGTAAACCATAATCCACATACATAAGATATTCTTGATATAACAAAATGATATAGAATAGTTCAGCACTTTACTGTGCCATGTGTGAGTGAAGGAAGCTGCATAGAAAGCAACTGC